CTTTTGAATGCCATCCTGAAGATGGGTGCGCATGTGAGGAATAGGGGTAGGATATTGTGGAGCTGCTGGAACCTAGGGGTTCAGAGCTACTGGAACCAGGGGGTTCGGAGCTACTGGAACTGGGGAGTTCAGAGCTGCTGGAACCGGGGGGTTCGGAGTTTCTAGAACTGCGAGGTTCGGAGTTGCTAGAACAGGGGCAGGAGCAAGTGGGGAGAGCTGTATGCAAGGGCGTCAGGAATAAGTTTGGAGTAATGGCTGGTATAAAGCAGAAGAAGTGTCGTTGAGTGGAACATGGCTTGTGACTGCAGCAGCTAGAAAGGTGCGCACTAGGGAGGTGCCGTGAGGTTGCGAGTCTAGGACATGAGTGATCGATACGGGCCCAAGTGTGGAGGAGGGCAGAATTGGGTGGAATTCAATATCCACATACTCTGAAGAAGATGATACCTACAAATGCTCAAATGGAAAATGCATTTCGTTAAATAAAACATGGTGGGACGTGTAAACACGACCCGTGGAGGGATGTAAACAACGGTAACCTTTGTGGTGAGAATTGTATCCAAGGAAAACACATTCAAGGGTGCGATTTGTGAGTTTATTTTCAGTATATGGTCCAAGGTAAGGGAAACAAGAACACCCAAACACTTAGAGATGAGAGTAGGAGGGAAGATGTTGGAAGAGATGATTGTATGCGCCAAACGGCTCGTGCACTTGCGAGTATCACAAGTTGAGGATGCAACTGAATCCATTTTGGTGCAGCTGTATCTACACAACAGTAAGGAGGGTACAGATCATGGTAGCAATGTGTCTGTGTTTACGTCCAGCTAGGCCATTTTGTTGGGGAGTGTGGGGACATGAGAAACGTTGATGGATGCCTAGTTGACTACAAAGATCAGAGAAAGCATTATTAACATATTCAGTGCCATTGTCACTTTGAAGGATTTGCACAGTGGTGTGAAATTGATTTTTAACCATGGCAAGAAAGGTTTGAAAGTGAGAAAAGACCTCATTTTTACGGTGCATAGGATAAATCTAGGAGTAACGGGAAAAGTCATTTGTTAACAAGACATAATAGTGATAACCAGTGACAGAAATGACCGAGGACATCCATACATCATAGTGAATTAAATAAAAGGGAGATGGGGAAAAGGTTTTATTACTAATAAAGGATAGTTTGGTGGATTTGCTAAGTGCACAATCCTTACAGAAAGCATGAGAAACTTTAAAGCCTAGAGATGGTGCTAAGTGAGAGAGCACAAGATGGGATGGATGGCCAAGGCGACGATGCCAAGCAGGAGAGTGCACGGTGGTAAAGGCACCGGGGATAGTGGATGAGTGAGAGGAGAGGGAAAGTGGATAAATACCATCTTTAGAAGAGCCCTGAAAGAGTAACGAACTAGTACGTAAGTCATAGATTTGATAAAAGTCAAGAGTAAAGACAAAGAAAACTAAATTATCACGAGTAAAACGGGCAACAGAAAGAAGATTAGTACGAAGAGAGGGAAGACAAAAGACATTTTGAAGAGAAAATTTGTGAGAACCTAAAGGAAGAAGAAGAGAACCAGTATGAGAGATAGAGAGAGAATCTCCATTACCAAGAAATACAGAATTATTACCCTGATATGGCTGTTGATTTTGGAGATTAGAAGCACTACCAGTCATGTGATGACTGGCACCTGTGTCAGGGTACCAAGTGGAGTCAGATGGTTGCATGAATTGAGCCTTAGAAAAGGAAGGAAAGGATTCTGGGCCATTGTAGCGATGGGGACATGTTGCAGTAGTATGTTGATTGGTATTGCAGGTGGTACACCAAGCGGGTCCCAAGACACCAGGAGCTGAGTTGGGCCGGGCAGAGTGTTTGCTAGAAGCGGCAGATTAGGCCCAAGAAGGCTGAAAGGAAGGCCAGTTGCTTTGAGATCCAGAACTTGGTGAAAAATGAGGCTACGGTTGATTAGGCCATTAGGGCTGCTGGAAGTCATTCCACGAGTTGCTCCAGGAAGCGCCAGCCACCGAGCCTGGTGCTGGAAGAGCCACCACCACGGTGAGAAGGGAAGGAAGTATGACCAGTGGTGTGAGAAGAAGATTGGGTGGCCATTAGCGCTGTGTTTTGATCAGGAGAGATTTGAGGAGCATGTGCGTCAAAAGATAACAAACGAGCACGAAGATCAACAAAGTCAGGAAGTGGGGGAAAATTGAGAATTGTTGTGACGAGCATTTTGTAATCGGGTCCTAAACCCCAAAGCACAACAGTGACAAGTTCTTTTGGGGAGACAGGTTCATTGATGACAGCCAGTGAATCGGCAAGGGACTTAGCATGACGAAGGTAAGCATCAATGGGTTGAGAGCCTTTTTGCAAATCCATGAGTTGAAAACGAAGAGCAGATTCACTGGTCATACAGGATTGAGAGAAGTGGCGTTGGAGACACTCCCAGAGATCTCGAGCAGAGGTACAGCTGACGGTGAGAGAAAGAATGGACTCAGAGAGTGTACTAGTGATATAGCTAACAATGAGTTGGTCTTGTTGGTACCACTGAGCATGGGCGGGATTGGTTTGGGTAAGAGTGGCAGTGGTGGTTATGGGTGTTGCGATGGTAGAAGTGGAGGTTTGGGCAGAATGTTGTTTATGAGTGCCATCGATAAATTTCCAGAGCTCATGACCGACTAAAAAGGGTTTGAGTTGGCGGAGCCAAAGAAGATAGTTGGAGTCAGTAAGTTGATAAAATGAGAAGAGTTTGGGCTAGGGAGGGAGATGGTGGATTCAGACGAAGCCATGAGGTGGACCTAGATGAGGATTGGATCAAATAAGGGAGAGGGAGGAAACCCTAGGTTAGGCTGATACCATGTAGAAAATATATTTCCTTGTATTTGACAGATTACACAAAGTCCCTATTTATGCTAGTACATGATATCTACTTAAGGTAGGAAATAATATAGACATGAATACAATCCTATTTACAGCAGGAAATCCGATTTACAGCATGAAAGGCTAATTGCTAGGAGGAGATTGTGAAGTTGACTTCTATGTAGGCTAGGAAAGGAAAGTTGCGTTAACATATCTTCTCCGTTTGGACAAGCCATTGGAGGCACTTTGAGTCAGGCAAAAACCTGCTCTGATACCAACTGACACAGTGAGATATAGGGGAATAGGGAGATCGAACGATAACCCTAAAGTAACAATGTCGGAATCCACCAACGAACTGGAATCCACCAGAAAATTGAGTAAAACTCAAAGGTATTTGATTGATAATATGATAGATAATTCAGGATGCTCCAATGCATTCCTTTTATACAAGAGAAACCCTAGACTTGCTTGGAAAGCTAATGAGAAATCCTAGACTTACTAGGAAAACTAATTAGAAAACAAAAAGGAAAATAATAAAAGTTTCTCAAAATATTCTAAAAACTTTAAATGCAGAAAAGTCAAAGTAAACAATAGAATTTGCCTAAAATAGCTCATACTTCAGAGTAAAGCAATGGGTTGCACTTGTTATGCCTTTCTCTTCGAAACGATAGGTCATGGGCCCGATTTCGAGCTTGGGGCCATACTTGCACAGATTGGGCTTTGCTGCTGTGACGACGTGCGCGCCTGTCTAGTTGTTCCTCGATCAACTTGGCGATGTGTTCTACATCAGAACTGAATAAGATTGGAACGCATTTCAATTCCTTCCATTGGCAAGAACCTCAAACAGTTGAAAAGTGTACAGAAGATATCTTTATTCATGTGTAGCATCGGTCAAGCTTTTGGTAAAGGTTCCATCCAAATTCTAGATGCATTGCCAAATCTAGCCGAAATGCACATAGATTATTGCCACGATCTGGTGGAATTGCCTGCCGAGCTTTGTGATCTCATTCGCCTTAAGGAGCTTAGCATCACCAACTGTCATAACTTATCCTCCTTGCCTGAAAAGATTGGAAAGCTAGTCAGTTTGGAAGTGTTGAGGCTTAGGTCATGTACAAACTTGTTAGAGTTGCCAGGCTCGATTAGGAACCTTAAAAAGTTAAACTTTCTCGACATATCCTATTGCTTTAGCATTAAGCAGTTGCCTGAACACATTGGTGAGACATGCAGTTTGAAAAAGCTCAACATGAGACAATGCTCAAGATTGCAAGACCTACCTGCATCAGTTTTGGACCTTGAGCAGTTGAAGGATGTGATATGTGATTCAGAGATAGAAATTTTATGGGAACCCTTCTTCCCCCTTCTCAAAAACATACACATAAAGGTGGTCAAAGAAGATATCAACCTAAATTGGCTCCACAAGCTTCCATCTTGAGATTTTTATTTCCTCAATAAATATTTTGGCTGCCTCCTGATTTGTGTTTAAATTTTGCTTTTTCCCTGAAATTAATTTCCTCTCTTTATGGTTTATGTTTTTTTTTTTGGGTAAATAGTTGACCTATTGCTTTGTAAATAGAAACAGTGTATAACTAAGTGTTCAATTGTGGGCTTTGTTACAAACGTGTCTGCTCTTATGTGGTCGTCAATGGCCCCACTACCTTTCAGTGTGGAATTGTTACGAAAGTTTCCTAAAAAGAACACTTATAATTTCCTAGCAAATTACTAAATGTGGTCCTACTGAGGTTTCCATCGGGACTTCCTAAAGAACATTATATGGGAGGAAATTAACCAAATGTGGTCCTACTGGCTTTGCTAAAACTTTGACTATCTTGACTTAGTCGTCAACGGCCCCACTTTCAGCGTGGAAGCTTATTTTACTTGTTACGAACGTTTCCTAAAAAGAACACATAATTTCCTAGAAGTACGACCGAGCTTCGATCGAGCTTTCCTTATTGACCCAGAGTTTCTCTCACCGATATATTCATATTGTTTTTCTTGGGTCACAAATCTCTGTCAAGAGTCTCCCACTTTCTCCACATTTCGTAATCTGCAAAGACAGAGACTGATTTCTTGTCTCAGATTAGACTCAAACAAATACAAAGCTTGAGAGTTGGGTGTTGTTTGAGTGTATTTATGGCATTTGCTGCGGTAGGAGGAGCTGGTCTAGGAGCAGTATTTGGAGCGCTGCTTGATGGCGTTGTAGCAGTGACGTCGAAGGCTACAATGTTTGAAACCCACCTCAGAGATCTCAAATGCACCCTAGAATTGTTTCAACAAGTGGATGAAGATGTAAGGCAACATCCCAACATATTGTTTTGCCCAATGCAGGGCCTAGAAACGTTTGAAATACAAATGGAGAAGGGTGTTCAGCTCGTTGAAAAGTGCTCCAAGGTTTGTCCATGGAACGTGTTCGATAAGCCTATGTACACCAGAAAACTTATTGCATTGGATGCATCTCTTAGAACACTGTTAAGTGTACTGACAGCACACATAACAAGTGACCTGAGGGCTCGGGTGATCAATGTGGCGACAGTGGTGAACCATATCAATGTGAATATTGCGGCACAAAACCAAAATGTAAATCAAATTAGAGGTTGGTCTGCAATACCTGAGCCTCCACCCTTTACAGTTGGATTGGATGCGCATGTGGAGGAGTTGAAGTTGGAGCTTCTTAAGGACGAGGCATCAATGCTTGTGGTGACTGGTCTTGGAGGATGTGGGAAAACCACACTGGCACAAAAGGTTTGCGAAGATCAGAAAGTCAAAGGTATGGTATATATGTATATCAATTCCTTTTTTTTACATACAAATTGGTGAAGTTTTGATTCCTAAATTGAAAAGTTCTGTAGTTATAATCAAGAATGAATCTGTTGAATAAAGAATTTGATAATTGTGGACAGATTTAAATGGCCACTTGGTGACTGCTTTCTTTTGTTCTACTTGGGCAGAGAAATTCAGGAGCAATATCTTCTTCGTCATTGTTTCAAAGAAAACCAACTGCCTTGTTGTACAAGAACTATGTCAAAAAGCCGGATCCCTGGTACCTGCTCTCCAAGACGAAGCAATTGCCTTTAACTGGCTGCAAGAATTTCTGAAGAAAACAGGACAGGATCCTCTACTTTTGGTCCTGGATGATGTATGGCTAGGATCAGAATCCCTTCTTGATAAGTTTGGTGAATTCAAAAGGCCAAATTACAACATTTTGGTGACATCAAGATTTCAATTTACAAGATTTGGCCCTGAATATCCATTAAGAACATTGGAACAAGGAGATGCAATGACTCTTTTTCGTCATGCAGCATCCCGACCAGATAGGAGCTCTGATATACCGGAAGATCTAGCGAAACAGGTGATTTCTTGTTTGCATTTCAAAACATAATTTATGTTTATTTTGCCTCACAAAACAAGGAAACAAATCACCTTCATTTTCTACAAGAACTGTCCATACACAAAAGTGAACAACATCAATAGCTGCAGATGCATATACTTTTGTGCCTACTTTACTTTTGAACTAACTCTAAACTAAGAATAAAGAAAAGTATATAGCCGGTTAACCATTTTCTAATCATCATTAAACAATTGGTATGATTTGGAGGAGGTTAAATTTTTTATATGTAACTCAAATAGTTATTGACTTCGTTTGGGATAATTGAACTGCAGATAGTACAGCTCTGTAAGGGATTTCCACTTGCCATTACAACGATCGGAAGATCAGTGTGCGAACAGCCTACAGAGATCTGGGAGAAAAGAGTAGCAGAATTGTCTAAAGGTTCTTCTATTCTTGATTCTGAGGATAATTTCCTTGCTTGCCTCAAAAGTAGCTTAGATGCCTTGGATGGACGAATGCCTATCATCAAGGAATGCTTCATTGACCTTGCTTCATTTCCTGAAGACCGATGTATCCCCGCTGTTGCTCTCATTGATATGTGGGCAGAGTTATATGGACTAGATAAGGATTCTTGGTCCATTGCGAACATCCGCGAGCTAACCAATCGTAATTTGGTGAATCTAGTCACAAGGTATGCAAGCTTCTATTCGTCTCGTCTTTGATATCTCTTCTCCACTTTACCCTTTCTTTATTATATTTATGACTAGCTAAGAAAATAGTTATGATCTTAAACAGGAATGGGAAGATGGAGATGGATGGCTATTACAGTGAACACTTTGTTACCCAACATGACATGCTTAGAAATCTTGCTATCCATCAGACTGGTCAAGATGAAATAGGACAGGAGAAAAGGCTGATTATAGAAATTTATGGTGACAGTGGTGACAATCTCCCTAATGGGTGGACAGAACAGAAGAATAAACCCAAGAAGACCCGCTTATTGTCTATCTCAACTGGTTGTCCCATCTCTCCTTCTTTACCAAATACATAAACTAAGGCTTGAATATAGTACTTTTGCATTAATGTTTCCCCAAAACTTACATCATATAGCTTTGGTTTGCAGATGGATTGTCCTCGGCAAAATGGCACGACATGAATCTACCAAAAGCTGAGGTTCTAGTTCTGAATTTTCAGACAGAGAACTATGTTTTACCCAAGTTTGAGTTGCCTGAAGAGATTGGTGAAATGAATGGTTTAAGGAAGATCAACATGGGACAATGCTCAAGACTGCAAGAGCTGCCAGTATCAATTTTGAATCTTGGGGAGTTACGGGAAGTGATATGTGATGAAGAGACAGAAAACTTATGGGGGGAGCCTTTCAAATCCAGTCTCAAAAACATAAACATAACAGTGGCAAAAGAACAACACAACCTTAATTGGCTCTACTACAAGGCTTGAGAGCTGACTGTCCTTAACAAATGTTGGTGCAATGTCTGTGTGATTTGTATTTCAACATTTCTTTTTCCTACTTTTCTTCTCTTTTACGTTTTTTGGTTTTCATTTTGCATTGTAAAAACAAAGTGAATGAGAGGATTTGGATTTACCACCATCATTTTGTCTTAATTTTCTTCTCTACCTTTTTCCTTCGTACCATATACTAATGTACCTTCTATGACGAAAGACAGAGACAGTGCTCAAGGTTGCAGCAGGAAGGGATCTGTGATGGAGAGACAAAATATTTGTGTGAATCTTTCTCATCTTGCCTAAAAAACATAAACATATCCCCATTTCCGCCCCCAAAAAAAAACATATCCCCGTTCATATCCAACCTTTGCATCTTCCAAGAGCAGATCCTTTGTTCTGTATAGAATAGCCCGTCCATACCTACTCCTACGTTTTGTTTCTCTTATTATTTCTTTTGAAGTTTACTAGCGCATGACTAGTTTTTTTATTATAAATTTTTATGAAGAATGAGTAGATCCTTTAATCGATATAATCGGTCCATACCCACCCCTATGTTTTGTTTTCTCGTATTATTTCTTTGGCCAAATTATACTTTTGATCCTTGCATTTTGAGTAATTTTCCATTAATACTTGCAATTGCGGAGCCAAGAATTTTTCAGGGAGAGTTTAAAAGGCTAAAAGCTCAATAACAAAAAAAACAAAAACAAAAAAAACCAAATACCCTTAGAATTTAAATAATACTAATGTGTTCATCAAAAAATAATACTAATGTCATTCATAATTCATGGAAAAAAAAAAAAAACACAAACAAACAAAATAGCACAACCTCTTTGAGGCATTTAGTTGAACACATGGTGGGCACCATCAGAGGGGTAAGTCCCAGCCTCTCCAAGGGATTTTTCGGTGAGAGGAAATGCAGCTACACCTCCTTGTTCTTTTGTGGCTCCGTCGCTATTTCCCTGTATTATTTCTCGCATTATTTCTTTGGTCAAATTACACTTTAGTAAAATTGTTTCAATTTTTGACAATTTTAGTATGTAGTTTGCTTATTTTTACTTCTTCACATACAAGCTGCCGCATCAGATTTACATCTTCAATTTTAACAGAATTAACAATTGGGATCAAAATTGCAAAAGTAAATTACATAACTAAGATTGGTAGGTACAACTGAAACTACGGTATAAAAGTGAAAAATTACTCAAACTACAGGGACAAAAGTGTAATGTGACCTATTTCTTTAAACTCTATCCTAGCAATTGCCAAAAGAAAAAAAAAAAAAAAGGTCTAACGAAATTAGGGCTTGTTTTCTCCACCGCGTGCACGGTTTGATCATCTGCCCTCGATGTTTCCGAGACACGGTGAATTGCAGAAACAAAAATCTGGTGTTCGTAGCAGTTTCTTGTGTATTTTTGTGATCATATGGTTGCAGTTTCTCGAATTAGTACAACCTTACACTGGAAACTGCGTTTGCTTTAGTCAATCAGTCAATCAAAAAGGTATATAGCTCCAACTTGGAATCTTCTCTCTCTCATCATATAAGTTCAGAGAGTTGCAAAGTACATCTTCATAGCATTCTTTGCCACTGAACTCGATTATACTCTCTTTCATCTCAGAAAGCATTTATTGGATTTCTGTCCTGTTTCATCAGAGCAAGGAGATCATTGAGTCTTCGTATTGTTTGGGTTTTTTATTTGAAACAAATAGAATTTGTCTGATTTTGGTGTTGGGTATTATTTTACACTCATGGCAGTGGATTTAGTCGGAGGGGGTACTTTTAGAGCAGCATTTCAAATGCTATTTGATGCTGTTATAGCAGTGAAGAAGGAGACTACCATGTTTAAATCTCTGCTTGGAGATATCAAATCCACACTGGAGTCTTTACAGCCAGTGATCAAAGAGAGAGAAAAATATAAGTCAAAGGAGGGGCTAGGAAATTTTACAACGCAAATGGAGGAGGGGGTAAAGCTTGTTTACAAATGCAGCAAGGTTGGTGTGTGGAGCTGCAGAAAATACAGATACACCAGAAAGCTTGATGAATTGGATAAATGTCTTCAAAGACTAGTGGAGGTGTTGAAAGTGCAGTGCATAAGGGATGCCAAGGAGACCTTGGTTTCTTTGAGGAATATAGAGACGGTGCTGCATCGAATTGAAGGGAACTTGGTGATGCAAAACCAACCTGAAAAAATCAATGGTTGGTCTTCAGTGCCTGAACCTCCACCGGTTACAGTTGGGTTGGATGTGCCATTGAAAGAATTGAAGATAAAGCTTCTTAAGGATGATGTGTCAATGCTTGTGCTGACTGCTGCTGGTGGATGTGGGAAAACCACATTGGCAAAAAAGTTTTGTCAAGATCAGGAAGTTAGAGGTATATCAACCTTCTTTTTTTCAGTTCTAATTGGTAAAGCAGTTTTACTTCCTAGTTGAAAAGTGCTACACTAGTAGTCTAATGGTAGTGGTATTATGATATGAAACTTAACATTATTTTTTTTGTTTTAGTGGTATGTGGAAGATACCAATATTCTTTAAGTTCCCTTTTGTTGGTGGTTAACATAAGTATACCCTAATCTGATCCATCTGAACAAATTAACATATTTACATAGCTTCATTTCAAGCCACTAATCTTGTAATGAGCCGTTGCCTGAATCGTATGTCTTATTGGATTGAAAATTTATGTCAAACTTATATCAATATGCATGGCTAAGGGACAGAGGTTTTAGGGAGACTCAAGTCTCTCTGTTCTATACTTCTGATATCTTATTCAACCTTTAAATGTAGTTGTTTTCTACAGTTATAGCCTTACGGGAATATATTCACCACATCTCACTGATAGGAATTATTACTTCAGAAGAGTAACCAAGGATTTTATAACTTCATGACTGGGATATGTCTTCTTAAGAATATTGCCTCACGTAGTTCTTACTATGTGCATATGTTAGGCTTCCAATTGAGACCTGGATATTCTTTTGTATGACCACCATTTGTGTATATTGTTTTCCTTTGCACAGTTGGAGACATATTTCAATGAGCTTTTCGTGACATGTCTCTTAAATTGTATTTGGATAGATAAATTCAAGAACAATATCTTCTTCGTCACTCTTTCAAAAAAGCCCAACTTGGACCTTATTGTACACGAGCTATATCAACGCAAGGGTTCCCAGGTGCCTGCTTTCGAAAATGAAGTAATTGCAGTTTACTGGTTGCAACAATTTCTGAAGGAAACATCACAAAATCCTGTACTTTTTGTCCTGGATGATGTTTGGTCAGGATCAGAGTCCCTACTTGAGAAGTTTGATGAATTCAAAATGACAAATTACAAAGTTTTGGTCACATCAAGATTTGCATTTCCAAGATTTGGTTCTCCATATCATTTGGAATCCTTGAATGATGAAGATGCAATGGCTCTTTTTCATCATTCAGCATCTTTGGAGGATAAGAGCTCTTATGCTCGGGAAGATCTTTCGAGAAAGGTGATTTCTTTTATTATTTTTCTTTAAATATAATTACATGTAGGTTTTTTTCTCTCTACAGGACGTCTGTCTTTTAAATACAAAATTCGTCCTTTGTTAAAAGGAGGGACATCCTGCACTGAGAACTCCTATATGTATATATATATATATATATATATGTATGTATGTATTTGTTAAACATCCATACACATGAGTGAATAGTGAACGCTTCCATTTACCATATCAACCTGCAAATGATTATACATTCATGTTACGTAGACAGTTACTTAACCATTTTGTCATCTGCATGAAACCATTGACATGAGATTTAGACGCTATTGTTTTGGGCCTGCAACTCAAATAGTGATTGGCTTCATTTGGGGAAATTGAACTGCAGATAGTAGAGCTATGTAAGGGATTTCCACTTGCGATTACAGCAGTTGGAAGATCACTTCGCGGCCAACCTATAGAGATCTGGCGAAAAAGAGTAATGGAATGGTCTAAAGGTTCTTCTATACTTGCATCTAACAATGATTTGCTTGCTTGCCTCAAAAGCAGCATAGATGCCTTGGATAAAGAAAAGCCTACACTCAAGGAATGTTTCCTTGACCTTTGCTCATTTCCTAAAGATCAAAGAATCTCTGCTGCCACCCTTATAGATATGTGGGCAGAGTTATATGGCCTAGACGAACCTAGTCTGTCCATTGCAAACCTCTACGAACTAACCACCCAGAGTTTAGCTAATCTTATAGCCGCAAGGTATGTAGGCTTTCATGTTCCTCGTCTGCTACTGTCACTCCATTTTTTCCTTTATATTCATGACTCGGTGCTGCTCATAATTTTCTGTTCCAATATTTATGTTGAAGAAATCTCTTATGAGCAAATTATTATTGAACATCCAGGAATGAGCGGGAGGCTGATGGCTATTACACTGAACACTTCGTTACTCAGCATGATATGCTTAGAGAGTTGGCTATCCATCAGGCAAGCCAGGACCCAATAGGAAAGAGAAAAAGACTGATTATAGACATACGTGGAGATAATCTTCCTAACTGGCTGACAGAGGCAAAGCATCAGCTCATGCAGGCTCGACTATTATCTATCTCAACTGGTTGTCCCATCTTTCTTTCTTTAGTAAATACGCACACACGTACACACAGACGCGCACACATACTACGCACTATGAATTGAATATTACTTTGGCGCATTTCCCACACTCACATCTTATAGCTTATTGTTTGCAGATGGAGCCTTCTCAAATAAATGGCCAAACATGCAACTACCAAAAGCAGAGGTTCTAGTTCTAAATTTTGAAACAAAGAGCTACAACTTACCCGAATTTGTGAAGAAAATGGATAAATTAAAGGTTCTAATAGTCACAAATTTCAGTTTCTTACCTGCTGAATTAAATAATTTTCAACTACTTGGTTCGTCATCAAATCTGAAGAGAATTAGATTGGAACACATTTCAATTCCTTCAATAAGCAAGAACCTCAAACAGTTGCAAAGTGTACAGAAGATATCTTTGTTCATGTGTAGCATCGGTCAAGCTTTTAGTAAAGGTTCCATCAACATTTTAGATGCATTGCCAAATCTAGGCGAAATGCACATAGATTATTGCCATGATCTGGTGGAGTTGCCTGTTGAGGTTTGTGATCTCATTCGCCTTAAGAAGCTTAGCATCACCAACTGTCATAACCTATCCGCCTTGCCTGAAAAGATCGGAAAGTTACTCAGTTTGGAAGTGTTGAGGCTTAGGTCTTGTACAGACTTGTTAGAGTTGCCAAGCTCGATTAGGAACCTCAAAAAGTTAAACTTTCTTGACATATCCTATTGCTTTAGCATTAAGCAGTTGCCTGAACACATTGGTGAGATTTGCAGTTTAAAAAAGCTCAACATGAGACAATGCTCAAGATTGCAAGATCTGCCTGCATCAGTTTTGGACCTTGAACAGTTGAAGAATGTGATATGTGACGAAGAGACTGAAATTTTATGGGAACCCTTCTTACCCCTTCTCAAAAACATACACATAAAGGTGCTCAAAGAAGATATCAACCTAAATTGGCTCCACAAGCATCCATCTTGAGATTTTTCTTGATGTTTCCATGTTTTTCTAGCACAAATGTGCATTATAGTTTCAACTTGCTATGTTGTTGGAAGTGCCAGCACTAAAGAGAAGGTTGATCTCTTAAAGCACAAGATGGGGTTCTTTATGAGACACTTGGGTGCCACCTGCATCATCATTGAGACAAACTCGAAGGAGCTGGTTCAAAATGTCAACGGCGGAATTAGTAGGAGTGTTGGTCTATTTGTCCCATCCTTTCTGCTATTAGAAATCGTTATAACCAGTTCAACTTTTGTAATTGGTTGTGGATCCCTCATCGGTTAAATGGTGTAGACGATTCAATTGCGGCGAATGCAAGGAGGAGGATGCACGAGGAAGTCTGGATTCACAGACCCCCATCATCCCTGGTTTTTTATCTGCAGGCAGATGGATTACCTTGTCCTCCAAGATCGTAAGTTGTTGTTGGTTAGAGGCTGACATGCATCCCTTGGTGGCGTCCTAGTGGCTGGCCGTCTAACTGAGCTTCTTTGCTTGTTTTTTCTCTAGTCTGTTTGTTTTCCTTTTCCTGGCTGTTTGATTGAAGGAGATGTTCCCGCCTTCCCTTTGGCTTCGTGTCTGTATTGTTTTGTTTGCCTATGTTTTAATGATAACCTCTTTGCTAAAAAAAAAAGGCTTCGATCTTGATATTTGTCTTTCCTCAACAAATGGTTGAGCTACCTCTTGTAATTTGTGTTTCATTTTTTTATCTTTTAATTTAATTTCCTTCTCTTTTACGTTTCTCTTTTCTTTGTAATTTAATTTCCGTCAAGCTATTGTCTTTTCCTATTTATTTTGCTTTTTTGATCTGCTTTTTTTTTCGTTTCTTGTTCAACTTCATTCCCTCTAAAGTTCTAAACCCAACAATATCACATCAACATTTAAGCACTTCATTGTCCCGTGATTATTTAATCACTACTTATGTGTGCAAATCGGTTTCCTTTTGGCCATTCAAAATTGTTGTTGCTTGCTCGACATGACATGACTTGAGCATATTTCGTGGAGCTTTGGTGCTGCTTTTTAATTTGTAAAAAGGTCGTGCAATTTCCATATATGATGATTATGATCCCCCCGCTCTTTGCAACCCAATAAAGAAAAGGAAGAAAAAGACGTTCGTACTTTACATCACCAGAAAATTGAGATATTTCTTTGTAAAAAGAAACCGTGTATTAACGAACTGTCGAATTCTGGGCTCTGGAAGAAGTTTCTGGTCTTTTGCTGTGGGCTTTCGCTTTCCTTCTTTTGTGGGTTTCCATATTAAAACTTCATTTTCTAGAATTCGTCGTCAATGGTCCGGTACCTTTCAATGTGGAAGCTTATTTTACTTGTTACAAAAGTTTCCTTTTTTATTTAATGAATACAAGCAATAAACTAAATTACTATGAGGTTTTTCACACACACTACCAATCTATCATGAGGGTTCGAACCTGAGATCATTGATATGCAAGTCTAGACCCTTTTCCACTAGTACACAAGTCATCAAAACCCTTTTTCACTGGGCTAAACCCGTTAGTATTACGAAAGTTTCCTAAAACCAATAGTTCTATATTTTCCTAGAAAGCACAGTGTAAAATGGGATTTTGGTCGTTGTTGGTAGCTTCTATCGAGCTTCCCTATTGACCCGAAGAGTCTTTCGCCCCCACATATTCATATCGTCTTCTATATGAAGAAGAATATTTCATTGTACTTTATATATTCTTTGCTTATCGTTTCTTTGTTCGACCACCAATAAAGGTAAGACAACTTATTTTCTTGGGTTCCAAATGACTTGTGAAATCTAAATTTATATGTTAACAGTCTCTGACAAGGTTTCAGAGTTGGGTCTTGTTTGGGTGTAGTTATGGCATTGGAGGCAGTGGGAGGAGCTGCTCTGGGAGCATTATTTGGGACGCTGCTTGATGGTGTTATAGCGGTGTGGTCGAAGACTATAATGTTTAAAACCCACCTCAGAGATCTCAAATTCACCATGGACTCTTTTCAGCAAGTGGATGAAGATGTAAGACAACATCCCAACATATCGTTTCGCCCCATCCCGGGCCTAGAAAGGTTTAGGATCCAAATGAAGAAGGGCGTTCAGCTCGTTGACAAGTGCTCCAAGGTTCGTCCATGGAAGTTAAACGCTTTCAAAAAGCCTATTTACACCAGCAAACTTGTTGCATTGAATGCATCTCTCAATACACTGTTAAGTGTACTGACAGTGCACATAATAAGTGATACGAGGGCTCGGGTAATCAATGTGGCAACAACATTGAACCAAATCGATGCGAATATTGTAGCACAATATCAAAATCAAAACCAAATTAGAGGTTGGTGTGCAATACCTGAGCCTCCACCCTTCACTGTTGGATTGGATGTGCATGTGGAGGAGTTGAAGATGGAGCTTCTTAAAGACGAGGCATCAATGCTTGTGGTGACTGGTCTTGGAGGATGCGGGAAAACCACACTGGCACAAAAGATTTGCAAAGAACAGAAAATCAAAGGTATATATGGTACAGATGTATATCAATTTCTATTTATTTTAATACTAATTGGTGAATTATTCATAAATTGAAACGTTCTATACCTACTTATAATCTAGAATCTAGAATGTGTTGAAGAAAAAATTTGTACCATTGTAGACAGATTTAAATGACCTCTTGGTGACTGCTTTCTCTTGTTCTACTTGGACAGAGAAATTCAAAGGCAATCTCTTTTTTGTCATTGTTTCAAAGAAGTCCAACTGCCTTGTTGTACAAGAACTATGTCGAAAAACTGGATCCCTGGTACCTTCTTTCCAAGAAGAAGCAATTGCATTTAACTGGCTGCAAGAATTTCTGAATACAACAGGACAAGATCCTCTACTTTTGGTCCTGGATGATGTGTCGCCGGGATCAGACTCCCTTCTTGATAAGCTTGATGAATTCAAAAGGCCAAATCACAACATTTTGGTGACATCAAGAGTTCAATTTCCAAGATTTGGTCCTGCATATCTTTTAGGAACATTGGAACCAGGAGATGCAATGACACTTTTTCGTCATTTAGCATCCCGGTCTGATAGGAGCTCTTATATACCGGACAATCTAGCAGAACAGGTAATTTCTTATTTGCACCTCAAAAAATAATTTGTGTTTATTGTGCCTATCAAAAAAAGGAGACAAATAACCTTCATTTTCTATGTGAATCGTCCATACACGCAAGTAAACACATTACGATATCTGAAAATGCACATACCTTTATGCCTACTTTACTTATAAACTAAATTTAAAATAAGAATAAGGAGAAGCAGATAGCCGGTTAACCAAACAATTGATATGATTTGGAAGAAGTTCAATTTTCGATGTGCAACTCAAATAGTACTTGACTTCATTTGGGACAATTTAACTGCAGATAGTACAGCACTGTAAGGGATTTCCACTTGCCATTACAACGATCGGAAGATCAGTTTGCGAACAGCCTACAGAGATCTGGGAGAAAAGAGTAGCGGAATTGTCCAAAGGCTCTTCTAT